TAGGTGCAGACTGATCCTGCCTTGGGGCTGCAGGCATGAACTGGTTGTCTTGTTAAGTTCCTTCAGGTTCTCTGTCTTTAGGATGGATTTATAGAGGATTGTTCAGTGACACTCAACGGCAAAAATAAGAAGCAGCTATGGCATGCTGTCTTCCAGATGGGAATTAGGAACCAGAAGTAGTTGAGGTACTCCATCACAGAGAAACTAGGCTTTCACAACAATGTATTAAAATAATGTCACTTAAAGTTGAAAACAAAAATCACAATGAGCAAATAAAGACTAGGCTATAAAAACAAGATCTAAATAATTCATATATGAAGGAAGGTAAGTTCCATTAAAAATAAAGAAATAAAAAATGTGAGAAGCTGTGAAGATTCTCATATCCTTGTTAGAAATCTCTAATGGGTGCTCAGCCTACTAGGGAAGCCAAGTAAAATGTCTAGGTTTCAGAGACAGTTTTATATAAAAATCTGGGGTCATGGGCAGGTGAGAAATTCTGACTGACGACAAATTCAGAAGACGAGCACCACCTTGGGGTGGAGATCTTCTTTATACCCTATCACTAATGTAAAACTGCCTCGTCCTACATGAAAGAAATAGCTATAAGTAGTCTTTTGTCTGCTGTAAAGCTTCTTTCCCTGCTCATGAATCTAGAAAATCTTGGCTCTTGTCTCACTTCTGACGTCTTCTGCTTGCATTTTTCCTACCATTCTATTTTCTATTAATCTGAGTCAGCTTAACAAATGAGGACCAGACAGCACATATATTGATTACTTATTTTCTCTTCAATGTTAGCCCATGTTAGTTAAAACTATTTCTAATCCAGCACTACTGTTTTCAGTCTACTGACGCTTAAAAAAAGAGACTGAAGATATAAGACTAGTTCAGATGGGGAACCTGGCACCCTGTAGTCAATGTAGATAAATGGGTATTTTCAGGAAGAGGTTCATCTGAAATAGACCTGTGAAGGTGTCTGTTTCTCTCTACTGTTGTCATATTTCTTTCTCAGCTGTGTTAAAATGTGGCCATGGTGGTTGTTTCAGATGGAGACATCTGCAATGCAGATGTGCTTGTTCAGTCAGAATCCCATTCCTTTTTCCCAAATAATACGGCCCTTTGCTTATTCATATTTTCACACAGTAAAATAGACTGGTAAGTGCCCTTTCATGTTTCTCTGGTAATGGATGTGGTTTCTCTGTTTCTTTGTTACTATTTACATGAAACAATGAGTTCTTTTGCAGGAAGGTACATATTTTTGGGGTATCTCATCTTCTTTCCAAGCTGGAGGTGAGGAAAGTTTGTCAGAGCCAGGATGTACAATTTATGCCTGATTTGTACTTAATTGTAATGGCCAGTTGGTGCATCAGAGCTACTGACAGACATGGCTATTGAGAGCTGTCTGCGTTGGTGGTGTCAAGTGGTACCTTGGCAAGAGACAGCGGGAGGGGTATGAAATGGCCTGCGGCTTACAGAACCACACATTCATACAGCTGAAACTGCCCCTCAGTACTTACTTACCAAGCTCTTCTTTGGTTAATGCTCTCTATCCTCTCTCTTTCTCTCAGTTCCCATGCACTTGCATGAACCCTTCCTACAGCCCACTCGGAAAGTATTACTATGGTTATTTTTGTGGCCATTTGTCATGCGTTGTCTTTCCTGTTGGCATCTCTCTTCCGGTTTCCTGAAGGTTTTATTCATCTGCTTAGGAAACGAGTTCAGTAGAAGTTGCTTTTGCCTCCATAGGCCAAAGGGCCTACCAGCAGCTCAAGTATTTCTTTGCTATGAAAAAAATGAGCTAAGAGCAGCTTTAGACCCTGGACCTCATCCTAAGATGCAAACTCTTTCATGTTACCTCATAGAGAAGACTTCATGTCAAAAGAAACCTTTTTCATTCCACAGACTGGAATGGAGAATTTCTTCCTTCTCTCTCACAGGCCAATTCATTTGTGATTCTGAGTTAGGGACGCTAGTGTACAATGCTTGTCCTTTCTTTCTGTCTCTTGGTAAACTGTTATGCTTCCCTGCTCCTGGAAACGTGCGGTGTAAGATGGATCCTGCAAAAGAGGGAGCGATAATGCTCAAAGATGGAGGCTAACATGGACAGCTGAAAGTTATGGTGAAGAGCTTATTTCTATTCGTTGCCGAAAAAGAAGCTTTAAACTTTTTCTCAATTAGTATGTTTAATCTTTCATAGGGAAATCTACAAGAGGATAGAGTAGAGGAGATGATAGGAACAGAAGAGAAATAGGAATATCAATCTTCACTATTTCTCTGTCTGCGAAAGAGATACAGCTAATTACTAGTATTTTAAAATGCCAGATTCTTATGATTGAAAAGCAGAAGGGACCCTAGTGCACGACCTTCTTCACAACACAGGCAGAGAAAGCCTTGCTGAAATACTGCATGATCTCTGTAGGACTGCAGTATCCCTGACATACCCTCAGGATCAGGGTGGAGGGACAAGGGCTGTGAATGCAGAGAAGTGACACTGGAGACTGAAATGGGAGACAAAAAACTGGAGCAGACGTGGTCTTGAATGACTTTGCAGCCTATTGCTTTGCTTTTCAAAAGCTCTGCTATGAGGCTGGGCAATCTATTAACTCCCTCAAATGATCATTGTCTTTTCTGCAGCAGGAGGTATATATGAATATGAGAAACTGAGAATATGAGAAAAAGAACATCCAATACGGTCAAATAGAGTTTGTATTCCTAACTGTGATGGCATTTGCAAGGGTGAAAATCAGAAGAGAATTACTTTCCAAAAGCTAGCAATATATAATTTTTAAAATGTAATCATGAAATAAAGCAAATTGTGTGTGGAATGTACTTTTGTATGTTATACATGCATATTTATTCTCCATGTTCCATATAAATTTAAATTATTTCATAACTTCAATATTTAAATTTATATAATTAATATAAGACTTAATATCATATTTATCTGCTTGTTTCAAATATTTTAGAAATATTTACAAAAGCTGAAAAATATTGGCATATTTTTTATGCTCCTGTACTTGTAAAAGGGGTTGTATTCAGCTGGATGAATGATAAAGGCCTGAAATATCCTGTCTAATCATCACTTTTGTGTAGTCTTGCTTTATCAATCAAATTAATGAGCTTGCCAGTTTTCTTTGAAAGTGTATTCTGCTATTATTTTAAGATTATAGGAACTATTTTAAGGTTAAGAAATATAGCGGTCAAATGTCAGTAAGATGCCTGGAAGTTACCATTACGGGATTTTTCAGTTTTGATATTCTAGGTAAGCTGATCTTAGCAAAATTTTAGAGAAACTCAAGAAAAAATGTACCATTACACTGTAACAGAAATCAACAGCAGCTGTGTTATTGATACATAAGGTATGTACTCTGAAATCAAGTCCAGGGCATCTCATGTTTGGCACCCCAGATTACCATACGGTTTCTTCCTTAGCCTTTGACCCTCAACTCCTTTAGTTATAAATGAGGAAAATGTTACTTTCCAAGCACCAGCGTGAGTGTACTAGTCTGAGGCTTGAATTTTCTTAGGGACTTTGGAAGTGCATTCAAGAGTTATTTGTCATGGCCATATCCCTGAAGCTCTCCTCTTCTTTCCTCTCCCCCCTGCCCCCAACTCCCCTTGCACTCAGCAGGCTCGCAGTGCCCTGAGATGCCTGGCACTGGGCACTGGGGAGAAATGGAAATCTCCTAATCTGAGCAGAGTCTGAGGGGGAGGTGGGGACTGCACTTGCTGGCCAGGACATGGGTCTGAATCATGTGGATGGAGGTGAAGCCGCCAAGGAAGCTGTTTTTTTGGCCAGAAAAGAAGTGAATGTGGGAATTCTGCTTTTTCTTTCACAGTGCTACCTGCAGGTCCCAGGCCTTTCTCAGTGACTCCCCTTCATGCCTTTTGGTTTTTTGTGAGCTGCAGCCAAGGGCAGGTCTGTGTGTCCCCGGCTGCCCTGTGTGACCCTGGCTGAGCAAACACACCTGGCTCACCAGCCGCAGTCGCACGGTTCCCACTGGGGAGAGCACATTTCCTCTAGGCTCTGACACCCCCCTCGGAGAAGAAGGATAAAGGTCCTGCTTTATGAAGGAGAAAGGTTTATGCCTCCGTCACTTGCTGTGCTCTTTCAGTGCCTTTATCCAGATTCCCGTCATCTCTGTTCCCAGGTATTGCAGCCTCTCCTCTTGCAGAGCCCAGGCTCTCATGGTCTCGTTCACCCGTTTAAAAGCCATCCCACTTCCCCTCCGGTTCTGGGTCACCCTGCTGACTCCTTGTTGTCTACTTGGTTAAAGGAATAACATACATGACACCTGAAACTGAAGGAATAAGAAGTTAGGTAGGTTATGATCATTTTTGCATTTTTAAATCCTGAGTGCTGACACTGTTACCCTGTTATAATGGTAACAGGGTACCTCCATAGCTGGGAAAGTCTGTTGATTCCTTGGTTCACAGGAAGCACCAATTTTTCCAGTTACTATCTTTTGCCTTTGTTTCATTTGTAAGTTCTGTATGACTCTTTGTCAGATTTCTATCTCCGTAGGCTTTGTTGAAGTTGGCCAAAATATTCACTAGCTATCAGGTATGAAAAGTAAAGAGAAAGCAATGAAAACATACACATTTGGGTGTGTGTACAGGGCCAGAATTAAACTTTTGAAAACTCACATTTTGGGAAAAGGCAGTATATCCCCAGAGTTTCAGAGAAAAAAAAATGAAAATAAGGTGCCTTGTTCATCTTCTCGAGAAAGAATTGTGAGTAAAACTCACTTTCACTTGCAAGGAGAAGATACTTTGCACACTAGCTCTTGAACTCCTTTTTTTAGTCATTAGGCTGATTATGGAGTAAACAGCTGTTTGCCTAATATTTAACCCCCCCCCCCCACCTCTGATACATCCCCCCTTACGTTTGGTAGTCATGGGAAAGCTGTAATCCAGGAATCCAGCAGCAGCCATTCTCCAGTCTTCAGGGGAACAGTGCTTTTTCTGGTTTGAAGGCCTCATCATCTCTATATGCTACAGGGATGTTAGCCATATTTGTCCAGGAAGTCCTCGCCAAGGTCCAGGCACCCATGCAGCTGAGCCCTCCAATTTCAGCCAGGAGTATCTCAGCAAAGTCTCCTCCGTCCTGTCTCTTGTCCAATTTCCTTAACAGTGAGAATCCATGGCATGTAGCGCGTGCACATCTGCACTCTGAACTATCAAGCAGTGCTGAGTCTTCCTATCCCTGTCTGGATGCCAACTAGTGCCAGTGTTTTCCCCTTGCAAACTCTTTCCAGACGCTTTGTTCTTTTTTTCAGGACATTGTATGCAGAAGCTTAATTTCACCTAGCTGTTATGAGGCTGAAGTTGGTTCCCTATTCCAAGGTTCTTATTTGTAGGCCCTGATTTTTTTTCTTCTGATACAATAGTCTGTCTAACAGGATGCGTTTCCTCTAAGGAAGCAGAAATTGCCCATATCATCTTCATCTTGTAGGTCAGATCTTAGTAGTTAATGAGGAATACTTTTATCTTCATCTTATACTGTTTCGCAGAGCAAGAATCACCTCTCCGTACAGCAGGGCTCAGGTGGTCAGACAGGAACCAAATGGCTGAAGAATGGATGCTGAGTCTAAGAAAACTGGAATTAGCATGAACTGGAGCCCAGAAGTACTGACAAGGAGGTGGGGAGTACAGAGTGAAGGGTGTGAAAGACTAAATTACCTTTTAATGGGTTAAGAATAGTGGGAATAGACCTGAGATTAAATGGCAAAACTAGAAGAGAGAAACTCTTTGCCTTCCTGCCTTTCAAGGCTTGGTAATGAACCGTGCTGTAAAATCCTGAGCCATGAGACACGTTCCTTTTTTCCCTTCCTGGCTTCCTAAGTTGAGAAATAGCTTCCGCTAGGGCCAGCTAATCTGACTACCGGCCACAGTGAGCATAAATTGTTTGTATGTTAAAAGAGTCTCTCAAATCCAAGGTTTTAAATTCACCTCTCTCTGCCTTGTGTCCTCCTCAGAGACAGCGCACTCAAGTTCAGCCTCATCTTTCTGGAAAACCTGTGTCCCCCCCACGCCGTCCCAGTGCCATCTATTTTGCATTCTCCGTGACAATCACTGTAAGTATCCTAGCTTGTCTGACATCAGTTAAGTTTGTCAGAAAGCACAGTGTTTTTTACTGAGCTCAAAGAGACAGCGGGAAATAATTGATACTGAAAAAATAAATGCCCAGCACATATGTCAAGCTTACCAGGAATCCCATTCATTAGGGGATGCTGGGAGACCCAGGATGCAAGCTTATCCATTCTTTTTTCCAGACTGGGTCCCTGCTTAAGTCACGTTTGTGATTTTTTTGTATAGTTTGATCTGCCTTGCCAGACCTCCAGAAACAGCTAAACCAGTTATTACAGTTTCCTTCAGAGGATAAACGTACCATGGGCCAAGTATTTGCATAGCCAGCTGTGGGAATCCACATTAAGCCTCTGTAAAGTTGTTCCACAGGTATCCACGAACACAGAAAGGGCCACAAAGATCTCTGTGTAGTCGTTCAGTGATGACAAATAGCCTCGTAGCCGCAGCATGTGCTGTATGTTTGCTGTTGAACTCTCTGTGCTTCCAAGAGAGCTCGTCGCTGGCACCAAGAGCAGGTCAGCAAGGGCTGTGTTGTTCCCTGGAGAAAAGCTATTGTTCCCTCAGCGCTTTTCAATGAACTGATGGGAAAATCCAAGCTGCCCTGACGGGGTATAAATTCCCCTGACCATATACTAGCTCTCCTTCAGCAGATCGGGGTTGGAAAATATGAAGCTCCTCACACCAGCCACGCTCATTCCGTTCCTCTCTCTCTGCCTTGAGGACACAGGGGCACGCAAATATATCTCTGTCCTCACTGTGCCTAATGGAGGCCACTGGAGCCACTGGGGGAGTCGGCAATTTTGTCGCTACGGCTATGCCAGTGGATTTGAGCTGAAGGTAAAACTCTTCCTACTTCCTACCATCTCTTGTCCTTGTGTCCCACTTCCCCCCCCTTCTCCGTCTCCCAGGAAGGGCTTCTCCAAACTCTAAGGACCTGATGCAGAGCTTTTGCCCCTCCTGACTCTGATAGCCTGTATATTAAATTCTGAGTCTTTGGGTAAACTTAGCCTAGAAAATGCTGCCACCATAGTTACGTCAGCAAAGAAAAATATGATCTTTTTAGGCCAGGAGGTTTCCTATAAAATACAGCAAAAAACAGGTCAATGCCAGAATTATTTTGCTCTCAAACTGGAAAGACATAGGCTAGCAAACGCATCATGCACATTTGGCTAATGTTGCTGGGAGAAGCCACATCAATGCTGAAATGCAGTGCTGCAGTGAGGGAGAGAGGCGTCTGCCTTTCACTCCTCAGCTCGGATTAAGAGTCTCTATCTTACGTATTGGATCTGGAGTTAGAAAACATAATGAAAGAACCGGTAAAAACGGTTGTTTAGATATATTGCAGTTTACCAGTGTGACAGGCATCTTTTCTCACATGCTTCCTAAGGTATTTTCTGCTTCTCATTGCAGAAAGGAATTGGAATTGTTAATGACATGCACTTAAAGGACATTTCCTGGCCTTCCTCTGCCTTGCCTTTACCTCTGTCCCTGTATGTCTTCTACTATAGGTGGAGCCCTCCCAGTCTGGAAGAGATAACACAGCGCTGAATGGCATACGTCTGCGTTGTCAAGATAACTCAATCATTGAGTCTTTAGTGGGGAAGTAAGTAATGCTGTAGTTTCTTTCATTTGTCATGCACTGGCTCAGAAAATTTCCATAGGTGCCACCATTTGAAGGGCACTCTTTGCTGAGTGTTTCATTTGCACAGGGCTGGAGTAGAAAGTGAGCTAAAACAGGTGTTTGGGTTTTTTGTTCATCCATTGTCAGTGTAGGCGAACATGGCTGTTTCACATTGTTATCTTCTGTTTTCTCTTGAAATTTCTGCAGAGCACTATGAGCACCAGAAGTACAACCCCAGGGCTACAGTTCTTGTTGGAAATTTGAAACACATGTGGCAAATGTGAGGAAAGGCACCTTCAGCCATACATTTAGAAACTCTTTGGGTGAGGTCCTGAGCCTGCTGACATGAATAGCACTGCACTGCAGGACTGCAGAGTTTTTTTTTCTCGTTGCTATCTGATGTGTATTTGTGAGAATAGTCAGGAATTCATCACAAAACGTGCACAGGCTATCCTTGGAGTTTCCACCAAAACCACGACAATCTAGTCCAGGATTTCCTGTTGTTCTTTTCCTAATGAGTACAAATAAAGAGAAAAGGACACCCTTGAAAGAGGGGAAAATTGGAGAAGGCAAGAGGCCCCAGACATCCGCAGGATGCTGCACTGGTCACTGCTGTGAGCAAAGGAAGTGTTAAGCCTGAGGGCAGCATGGCAAGGAGAAGGGGCACTCCCTAGTGGTTTGCAGAGCCTAGACATCACTCTGTCTGCTTTTTTTGGCAGGTGGGGAACCTGGACCAGCTTCCAGGTTTATCCTAGAGGTTACTTGATCTCCTTCTCACTGAGAACAGAGAAATCTCAAGGAGGAGGTGATGATACAGCAGCCAACCACATCCGGTTCAGATGCTCAGATGCAACTGTGCTAGTAGGTGATGGACTTTCGTGGGGTAGTTTTGGCCCATGGAGCAACAGCTGCAACATATGTGGTCTCCAGACGAAGGTGGAGCCCCCACAGGGGCTTCAGGATGACACATCGCTCAACAATGGGAAGTTCTTCTGCTGTAGCGGAGCACTTTCTCCATCTTCATCACTGCCTCACACATCCCACAACAAATGAAGCATCAGTAAAGCTTGGCCGTAACATTATACTGAGAAATTGCTGTGATTTTTCGACTAAGCCCAAACTTATGAGCATGGTTTGCCTCCATATCCATAGCAGATGGGCAAGAAAGAGAACCATGAAGGGAAGCAGCAAGAGGGAAAGGTGAGAAAGAGCCTTTCCTAGCTGAGTGAGTGAGAGGGAAGAGGTGAGTGAAAGACAGTGTCTCTGCCATGTACTAAGGGATAGTACAGGGAAGCGATCCAAGTAACACTATACCATAGCTTCCCTTAGCCTAGACAGGCTTTCAAAAGGGACATCTGCCTCCTGACCTTCTCGCATTATACAGCCTTGCTTATTTCCAAACAATATACAGAAAATCTTATTTCTCTGAATGTGGCAAAAACAAATAATTGGAGTCAATGGGTCTGCAGTGAAATAGTACCTTTCCAGCAAAGCCCAGAAGACCTCTCTTTCTAGGCTTACTTCCAGGCTGTAGCCTCATGCCCACATCTGTCATTTGGCTAGGCTTTCTCTTCCACCTCCGCATGTGGTGTCCCCAGACACTTACAGTGGCAAGCAAGCAATACCCTTATCTTTGCATTTGCAGTTAGTCTGCATGGAAAGCCCCAGGCTCTTGTGGTTTAGCTTCTGTTTGCATATGCCTGCCTGTGTCTGCATACCTTAGATGATAGTGCCTGTTACAGCTACCACTACCTTAGTGTATCTTCTCATAGTTTCCCAGGTGTTATTGTGCTTAAAACAATCATCATGCTATGTAACTGGTAGCATATCACAGTGACAATACCCTGTCTCTGATGATTGCTTAAAACTGATGAATGGTCTTCTCACCTTTTTCTTCTCTGACTGGTGAGTTTCTTTCAGATTTGCTCTGCCCATTTGTTTGAATGGGCAACTTTGTTTGAAACAATATTTGACCTGGTAACATGACAGACAGGGAAGAATTGTTATTAGTTTGGGTCTACTTGAGGTCTCTGACCAAAATGCTGTGAACTGAACTGGAGGAAATCGAAGTTTGGGTGGGCTCATGTGCAGCAGCAAAGGTTTGGCATCATTGCCTACTCCTAACTTTGTCTTTAGTTTCTCCAAGTTTTGTTCATGTGTTTTACAAGTAGTCTCTTAGCTCATGTTTGAGTTTCTGCCTTAGGAAGCATGTTTAGAAAGAGTACTTGCACATAAGTGTGGCTAGGGTGCCAGCTGGGTGGGCTGTACCTCCCTTTTTACCGCTTTAGATTTCCTTATCAGGGAAGTACTTAAAAACCTTTGAGCCACCATCTCCAGTGGGTTACAAAAGTGAGAGTAGACTCCAGCTTACTGTGCATTCTCCTTTCGTTCTTTGCCGGTAATATGTCTGTATTGAAGCTTCAGCATGCTCCCTCCACTGGCTCTCCTAGCTGTTAACACAAGACTGTTTTTCACGTGACTTGTTTTCTTGTTTATTGTCTTTGGGCTTCACGCTCTAAATAGAATTAGGGAGAATCCAAACTAAAAACAAAAAATGTCTTTCTCATTGATCCATTTTTTATGTTCCAATTTGCTGTCTAAGTTTGGAGTTAGCTTGTCCTGGTGTGCTAGATGTATAGAATGTACTTTATGGATTTATTTGGAGAATATTATCCTGCCCTAATGTCTGAGCTACTGGACCTCTCTGACAGGAGTTCAAGGAGATTTAATGTCTCTCTGAGAACCTTTTAGGAGGTGTCACTGTTGTGTCACTGTTGCTATTCCCTCAAAGCAGTGCATTATGTGTCTCTGTACTCAAAACAAGGCAAGGGCCTGGTGTTGTCATGACCTTGTTGACTAGCTGGGCTGTGGAGGGGTTCTGTTCAGGAGGACAACTATGTGGAAAAGCGAGGAGCTGATGGGTGGTGGTTACCTTGTACCAGTTCATACCCTCTGCTTAGTCTGCACTCTCATTATTTATCCATGTGAAATTTTCTTCCTATCACTTATTTCAAAAAATACTTGAGCAATAATTGAGTTTTAAGAGACATGGAATATAGCAGGTAAAAGAATAGAGCAACTATAGAGCTACTTTACTTAAAAGAGTTTTGATAAAAAATTAGGGATCTACTCTTGTGTAGATCAATGGTCTGTCAAGCCATGTCCTGTCTCTGGTGGCAGTTTTCGTTATCTAATGCTTGGTGCAATAAAAATTTTCTCTGACAGAGAGAAGTGATGAGGGTGAATTTTCTTGGGGAAAATAAAATGAACCAACAACAATTATAGCACGTTCACTGGAGGTTTGATGCTTGCTAATGTTCTCCAATGCTGGTCTTTGGAGCATGCAACAGTTTCTCATGTTGTTGTGTCATTTTGCCTCCCAGTCCTCATTTTTGCTAACATAGGAATTTTCCAAGCGGTGGATGATAAATGGAGAAATCCGCCATAAAGAACTCAGACTTGATCGAAACTTCTGTAACCAAGTGGCATATAAAACATTTCTCTTGGCTCTGTCTGTATTGTGCAGGGTACTGTTACCTATCATTTGCTTACTGAAGCACAGCCTCAGCTGGAGTAAATTAATGCATCTCTATTGACATCATGCCATTACCTCAAGTGAAGAACTTCCCAAGGCCTCAGCAGTGCAACCTTTAAAAGATTCCTGGATTTGAATGATGTAACTATTTTTAAAAATTAATATGAAACTTTCTAGCCAGATCCTCTGGTGCAAATTTGCATGACACTGATTTATTTAATCTTAGGATCTGGCTTATTGCTAAATCTTTTAAGTTGGAATTTTTTTTTAATTTTGTATTTTTAGGTATTTCTCTAACTGGCCTTCTGTCCTGCTCTTGACTGAAGACATTTTAAAAGAGCTATTCTTTTGTTGTAGAGAGGCTTATTAGGCTTAATTGGCCTAGTCAGCGTTTGAAATACAAGGGATTCATGGCTTCAGGGTAGCATTTTATAATTTTATCACCGACAGAGGTAGCAACCTTTTCCTAACAAGCTAAACTAAATTGAACTAAAGCTATATTATCTATTGCTATCACAGTTAACTGGGCTTTTTGATTCACTTGTCCCTTTGTTTATGGACCAAATATAAACTTAGCATAGTGTTTTCAGCCCTCACGCATGGACATATCTTAAGTTGCATCTGGTTGCTTGACTTCCTTTTTATTGTGAGATAAGGATTGTTTCAGCTTGCAAACTCGTCATCCAGCATAATTAATGAGGTGAGATCTGAGGAAGTAAAAACAAGAATAGCTGCACTTATCTGAACAAATTGAGCTTCATTTGTGAAGGAGAACATTGTCTGTGACACTGTCTGTGTGGTCTTACAAAGTCTGTAGAATCCATTTACTCAGGCAGAGGCGAGTATATGCACTGCAGAGAAGACTTCCAAGGCCGACTACTGGTCAACTTTCACCAGAGTGAGTAGGAGAAGCAAAAACTGTCATATATTTTATATATAACATCTTACCTTCAGTATCACCAACAAATATGGAAACATCACATTTCAAGTGCTTTTTCTGAGCATGTGAGCAAGTTCTGTGTCTTGGAAAAAAAACATGCTGTTTGAATCTAAGGTGTGTGTGCAGCTGGTTTCCCAAAGAAGCAGTTCTGTGCGGAGAAAGAAGGTTTGGTAGTTGCTGTGTTTTCCAGTTAGAGTTGTTTTCTACGAGAGTTAAACCTTGGAACAGCCGTTAGCGTTGGCCTGAAGTGCCTGAAAGAAGGAACTACTTTTCTTTGAAACATTTATCCAAGAACTGGTGCATGCTTGCTTATGTGTGTGTGGATAATTGAACTAGCTTAGGCTTCATGTCACACATTTCTTATCCAGTGGGTAGGCCAAGCTGGAAGGCTCTGAACATCTGCTGCTTCTCTGCAAAGGATGATTCAGTTAAGTTTTGAGGTTGTACTGAGGGAAGGATTAATCACACCATCAACTAAACTGACCTTTTACACTTCCCAATTATGCCAGGTGTAACATAGCCTCACATCGATGTGCAAACAGACACTCCAAACTAGTGCTATTCCAAGAAATGTTTGGTGAAAGGAGTACAGCCTCCTCTTCACTGTCTTTATCATGTTTTAACAGTAGTTTCAAAATCAAATGAATTCTTTTTGTCTTCTGAAAACTGATGTAATACCTTCAGCCAGACCTCCTCTAATAGTCTACTTGCATAATATGGAGCATATACAGAAAAATAGAGTGGGTTTTGAATTTAGAAGCTCAAGCTGAGTAGGTCTCAGCTATTTAGAGCACTAATTCAAGAAGCATTTTGGGTAGAAGAATCAAACTCTTTCAACTAAAATGAATGACTAATGCATCAGCAAAGTGCACTAGAACTGATGTGGCTGCAACTGTGGCTATCTAGAAACCGTGAGTAGCAATAGCTACTTTACTTTCAAAAGTCACTGTGTGTCCTTGGCGCACCTAGCAGTCAGGAACATGTTGCCAAAGAACTGCCAGCCCATTCCTGACAGTAGGACCAGAGACAAGACTGAGGAACAAGCAAGCATTATTCCAGCACCACCGATAATGTGGAGGTTTTTTGTTTGAAATTTGAG